CGCTCTCTCTCTCTGACAAGTAAATAAATAAAAATCTTTATAAAAAAATAAAAGGCCTGGATCAGTAAAGAAGGATTTAGAGGGGTTGACTATTTTAGAGCCAAGTTCGCAAGGCCTTGCTGAGGGCATGAAGGGTGTGAAAGGAGTCTGCACAGCAAACCAGCTTAGTCTCATAAATGTGTACCTGACCTGATCTTTGGCGTTCAGGGCTGAGTGTGTCAGACTCGTGCAAGGCTAACCGTGACTCTCTTTGTAACAGAGTGAACTCAATGCATACAGTCACGAAGTCATTACCATTCTTGGCGAACTTGATCTCGTGCTGGAGAATCTTCCTGAATGGGTTACTGCTAAACCGGCTCAGAAGAACCTGCTCACCATGCTGGACGAGGCCTATGTTCAGCCGGAGCCCCTGGGAGTCGTACTGATTATTGGAGCTTGGAACTACCCCTTTGTTCTCACCATTCAACCTCTGATCGGAGCCATTGCCGCAGGTCTGGGGTCATTTGCTGTGGTGGTTTGCCTTGCTTTACACTAGCAGTGTACCAAGGATGCAAAAGTATTATCATCATTCATATATATATATGTATATATATATTTTTTTTTTAGTAAGCGCAAAGCAGTTTATTAAAGCAAAAGTACACTGTCAAGGTAGGTGAGTAGACAGGTTCTGCGGGGTGGAACTGGCCAAAGGGTGTTTTGGGATGGGTTATTATTAGGTCTCTCTGGGCTGGGAGGAGCTGTGACGTAGAAAGGGATTTTTTTTTTTTTTAATGTTTTTTTCTTTTAAAGTAATCTCTACACCCAGCGTGGGGTTCAGACTCATAATCCTGAGATCAGGAACCACACGCGCTGTTGACTGAGCCAGCCAGGCACCCCTTTATTTTATCATTTTTAAAGTGGGCTCCAGAGATTTGTTTGCATGGTGACTGTTTTTTGAAATATGCGGAGAATGAACCTGTGAGGGTCTAAAGTCATGCATTGATGGGTCCAGGAGTTGGGAGTCAGCCATCCATGTTCTCAGGTGGTTTTAGTTGCTGACTCTGGCCTTGGGTGAACCATTTGATCGTATCTGAGCAGATTCTTCATCCAGCTGTGGGCTGTGGGAGTAACACTAGCTTGGGGCTATGGCAGACACTGGGAGATTAATTTCTCACTTCTGCCGGATCCCAGTCAACAACTTTATGTTGACAAGGCTTGTTCGCCCAGTAATTCCCAGGCAAACAGAAAAGTCCAGCGGTGAGAGTGGGAGTAAAGCTATAGGAGTAGGGGAGGATGATGGAGCCTATTGTCAGTGATGTGAAGCTAATGAGCACCAAGGAGTTCGAATCTGAGGGAGTAAGACAAGCTCTTCGGGTGCCCGGGTGGCTCAGTAAGTGAAGCGTCTGCCTTCGGCTCAGGTCATGATCTTGGGGTCCTGGGATTGAGCCCCGCGTTGGGCTCCCTGCTCAGCGGGGAGCCTGCTTCTCCCTCTCCACCTGCCCCTCCTCCCACTTGTGTGCACGAGCTCTCTCTCTTAAATAACTAAAATCTTTAAAAAAAAAAAAAAGACAAGCTCTTAACACTCGTTGAGGAAGAGCAGAATTCACAGCTGCAGAAGTAATAGGAGTACCTAGCCTGTATTCCCACCATGAACACCGTTCTGGTAGGTTTTAAAGTTACTCAAGTATTAAAAGATGCTGTCCTGCTTTTTTTGCTTTGTTTAGGAAATGCTGTCATTATCAAGCCTTCTGAACTAAGTGAAAAAACGGCTAAGATCTTGGCCGAACTCCTCCCACAGTATTTGGACCAGGTAATAATGTCTTGACCCACCCTCAGTGTGTCCTTTTCTAGTGGAGTGGGGGGACACATCTGCTCTTCCTACTAGTGTGTGTCGTGGATGGCTGTCTGCATGGAATTGCTGTAGGGAGGAGTCCTAATTTAGGATTTAGGATCGAGTCATGGCTGGAGTTGTACATGTTACTGGAACAATCTGGAGGCTGACCGTGGGCTCTCCTTGCTGTCCTGTCACTGTCACTCCCACGGAACTACATTGTCCTAATAGCTGTGGTTATCCGGCTCAAGAGGGTGATGAAGACAGGGAGAGGTCATGGGTCGAGTAGGATTTGGAACCAGAAGATGGAGGTTGCAGGCCCGGCTTTGCCCCTCACCCCATAAATTCTTCTCAGTCTCACTCCATGGGGATAGAAAGGCCCACCCCGCCTCTCTGAGCTTGTTGCGGGACCAGTCACAGACGTTCCGTAGATTAACCCACATGCAAGTTAAAACTTGAAGCGTTTGTTGGACAATTGAACTATGGGGTGAGCGAGAACTAACGAGGCCTCCTAATTGGTAGGGGATCGAGTGGAAGCATGAGGCCCCCCAGGCCGCTTTTATGTCATGCTCTCCGAGTCTTTTGAACAACTGTCTCTGTGTCCCGTCCTTGCTCTCTGTTTCCTGTCCTTGCTCCTCAGCTGCTGCTGCATGAGGCGCTCTTCCATTCTAGCTGTTCGTGAGGAAGAGCACAGGGCACCTGAGGGCTCCGTCCGGAGCACTGGGACCTCTCCCCAGTCCCGCGTAAGGAACCTGAGGCTCACAGATGTGCAGTAGGGCTGCTAGTGAGTGACGGAGCCCAGACTGAGTCCAGATCTGACTTCTAGAGCGAGGGCTCTCCCCTGCGTTGCCTCGAGTTCTGCTCGTTCCTGGCCCTGGGCTGAGCCCTGCACGGTTGCGGAGGGCGAGAACGTTCAGCTCAAGACGCTCAGCTGGAGCTGGGACCTGTCCCCTGCTCCCTGACCGCAAACCCTTCACCAAAATCTCCCACTCGCACGGCCCCCATCTCGTGCATCTCCCCGGTTGAATCCATCCAGCCATTCGATCTCTTCTCTTGGGTGTCCTCACTGCCGAGCTCGGTGTGGAAACCGCAGGCGGAGGGGTCTCAGACGCCCGCAGACTCTGTTCTGCACGTGTCCTCCGTCAGCGCCCTCCTGCCTCCTCCCCGGGGCCGCTCCCCCTCTTTTCCCCACTGTTCCTGAATGCTGCAGGTTTACGTCGAAGAAAGTGCTCGTTAGATGGTGGGATTAATGTGGTGACGTCAGTGCTTCTGTTTCTCCTTTCTGAAGGACTTGTATGCTGTTATTAACGGTGGTGTCAAAGAGACCACGGAGCTCCTGAAGCAGCGGTTTGACCACATTCTCTATACGGGGAACACGGCCGTCGGGAAGATCGTCATGGAAGCTGCCGCCAAGCATCTGACCCCCGTGACGCTTGAGCTGGGAGGGAAGAGCCCATGTTATATCGACACGGATTGTGACCTGGACATTGCCTGCAGGTGAGCCTGCTTATATCTGAGGGCTTCCCGACACCGACAGGTTGGTGTGTCCTCTCGGCACCAGGGTCCTGGGCCTCCTGGCTCAGAGAGACATCGGGATGCTTGGGTGGTTGATGTCCCAGGGGCAGCGGAACTCTTTCCCAAACCGTCTCTTGCTGCCTCTGCCAGAAGAAACGAGCAGTGGGTCTTGACATTGCGTGGTTGTCCTTAGGAGTTAAAGAAAAGTGCTTTCTTAAGGTTACAGACATAGCAAGAAATTTCACTCTTCTGCTGGTAGGTGATCCGGGCAGTAGTAAAGGATCGCGTGTACGTAATAAAATCTTCAGATTCCCAACAGAATGGTATTATGCTCACCTCTTAACGAGTTCCTTTGTTGACAAAAATCAGTTATTACTCGTTTTCACTTAGAATAACATCATGCAGCCGGGAGCCAGAAAACAAAAGGTTTCAGATTCTCTCTCTGCTAGATCAGGTTTAGCTCCCCAGAAATGCCAAAACCCAGGACTGGCTCTGTGCTTCTCGGGGTGGTCTGGCTTCTCGCTCCCCTTCCAGAGATGCACAAAGAGGGCTTGTAGGCAGGTAGGCCGTGTCCAGGTTGTCTGGTTGCCAGAGCATGAGGCCTTCAGGGAAGGTTCAGGAAGCAGGCTTTGATCCATATGTAGGTGCGGCTTTCCAGAGTGGGCATGGGCTCCCCAGAGAAGAGGGTGGTCTTGGGGGCTGGCTGCTTTCCTGCTTTTTAGCCGAACCTCTTGCCAGCAGGACCTAGAGCCACAACCGGGAAAATTGAAGTCTCGATGGAACTCCTGATATCTGGATGTCCCCTTGGCTAGAGTGGGAGGAGAAGAGGGTGTGGGAGTCTGCTGTTTTTCTCAAAACAGGCAGTGGCTTCGTTGCTTATAAAGTACTGTTTCCCACGAGCTGGCACGAGAATGTCTCTGCTCCTTAGAGTATACTGTGTCGGTGGGAAAATGCATCCTGAGTCCCAACCGACTGATTTAAGAGATGAGTTTTTAAAACATTTTTGTTCTTTATAAAGACTACAGGGGCGCCTGGGTGGCTTGGTCAGTTAAGCATCCGACTCTTGATTTCAGCCCAGGTCATGATCTCAGGTTCGTGGGATCGAGCCCCACATGGGGCTCTGCGCTGAGCGCAGAGTCTGCTTGTCCCTCTCACTCTGCCCCTCCTCCTGCTCATGCTCTCTCTCTCTCTCTCTCAAATAAAAAAATAAAATCTTTAAAAAAAATAAGTACAAGGACTACTAAGTAAATCTATGAATACGTGCTAGTTGCAAAAGAGTCAAACAACAGAAGAGGTGTAGCAGATGAATAGTAGACCGAATTCTATGGCTTTTCTGGTTTTTTCCCCCCTCAGGCGTATAACTTGGGGGAAGTACATGAATTGTGGCCAGACCTGCATTGCTCCTGACTACGTTCTCTGTGAACCGTCCCTCCAGAATCAGATTGTGCAGAAGATTAAGGAAACCGTGAAGGTTTGTGCTTAACGCATCTGAGTCCGTTGGTTTCGTTAAGCTCTGCATCTAATCAGCTGTGCGGGCAGCATTCCTGGTCCCTCCCCCGCCTCCCCAGGAGAATTCCAGGAGCATATGTGGCTGAATTAATTTATGGGCTGATTCAGAATGCTCTGGGCAGCTTTCATAGAATGTCTGCTAGGAGCAAGATAGGTTGGTGTTTAACCCACTTCAGCTGTCTAGTTGATGTGTTGAAACAACTGGTTAGTTGTAGCACAGACTCTGGAAAAAAAAAAATGAAATAGCTATGTTTCATGGTTTTTTTTTAGAGGATGTTGCCAGTCCTGTGAAATGCAATCAGAGGCCCTTTGGCCTGTTGGCCATTGCTGATTCAGGTATTGGTTCTTTTGTGTGCAGAGGGCTTAGGAAGGCCAGTAGTTTGGAGGAGTGAGTTAATCAAGTAAGTATGGATACTATACTCTCGGCCTGGTTATCAGGCTTTCAGGGTGTTCCAATTAAAGATCTCTCTAGAAGGAATCGAGAAATGCCGTGGTAGTGGCCTGAGCTAAACCTCGAAGAAATGTAGGATTGGGAAGAAAGAAGGGGGTGAACCAGTGTGACTGAGCTCACGAGTGGGAGGGGGTCATTAAGCCCCCTGGGTGGAAGAAATTACTGGAACAGTCACGGTTCACTCAGCAGGTGCTAACTGAGGCCTCAAAGGAAGGATTGGGGACACCGAGGAGTAACATTATGATCAGAGAATGAAGAGCGCGTCCCGGGAAGTTGAGAGAAAAGCAGGGATCCAGGAGGGGTCACTCTGGGCACAAGGGGCTGAAGGTCTTGATGTGGGACTTGGCCGTGAGGGATGGGACTGAAGATAGGGCCAGAAAAGGAGAACATGAAAGGGGTATTGGCCAGACTCAAGGAATGTGGGGTGGCAGGGCTTCAGGGTACCTGTGAGATGGAAAACCCCTGGAGATTGGAGAAGACGTGCCTAGTTGAGTAGGGGGATGAACTTGGTTTCAAAGGAGTAGGATCCCCTCTGCCTTCCTTTGAGGCATGTCTGTCCTTAAGACAGCGGTTCTCAGCTGAGGTTCTACCAGGGAACTGTATATGGAAGTTTCCAGTCCTCACCTTCTGAAGACTGCAGTTCAGTTGGTCTGGGGTCTCCAGGTGATTCTAAGGGGCAAGTAGCCTTGAAAACCACTGTTGGTGGCTTCAGAGTTGGGGCCCGGGAAGTTGGGGCCCGTCAGCAAGCTGCCTGGGTGATTCTTGGCACCTAGGCCGGAGGGCGTTGCTTGGTGGGGGGGGGGGTTGGTGAACAACGCTCCTCTTGACTTGAGAGTAAATTGAGAGCATTCACCTCCAGGACGGCCCCCGACCAGTCTGCAGGAGATCCATACAAACCCCGGACATCACAGAGAGTCCTCTGGTCTGTGCACCTGCTTTAATTCTCGTCCTCAGCCTGCCAGAAAGCGTAAACACTGTTAGACGACCTGAGGGAGAAGGGCGGTGATCTACAACCAGATGGCTTTTTGAGGACGAGTGGGTTTTGCGCTTATTAAAGACACTGAAATAGGGGCCTTTTGTGGCAATTAAATACTACTGTTCTAAATAGGAATTTTATGGCGAAAATATAAAAGAATCTCCTGACTATGAGCGGATCATCAACCTTCGTCATTTTAAGAGGATACTAAATTTGCTTGAAGGACAAAAGATCGCTTTCGGTGGGGAGACGGACGAGGCCACGCGCTACATAGGTAATGGAAATTCACCTCTTGCTCTGGGGACACGGGCCGCGTGACAGTTTTCATTGACTCTATTTATTGTCGCTGAATAAGCTCTTAGATACACAGTGTTTAATAAGCGACGACACACTGTTTTCTGGTGTGCGGCCTTACAAACCACTCGGATGGTTTTATGTCTTTATAAATAACAGCACTCGTGTCACGCTGGATTTTTGCCTTTACACGTTTTTTTGGTTTTTTTCCTTCCGGCAACCTGTAACCTACCACCCTGAGAAGCAAAACAGAACTCTCGTGTAAGTCTTTCTGGTTTCTGGCTGGAGGGACAGCCCAAGGAGGAAATCATTCTTCCACAAGTAGTGAGTGGCAGTACTATTCCAGAAAGAATGTTTTCTTGTTTTATTTATTTATTTGTTTGTTTTTAAAGGATTTATTTATCTATTTATTTACAGAGAGGGAGGGGGGCAGGAGGGGTAGAGGGAGACGGAGAGAGCAGACTCTGCCCTGGGCACAGAGCCTATTGGAGCTCTGTCTCATGACCCTGGGGTCACGACCCGAGCCGAAGCCAAGAGTCGGACGCTTAACCGACTCCGCCACCCAGGCGGCCCGGAAATAACGTTTTGATCTATCAGGCTTGACATTATTTGTTTACTTTCTTTTTGTGTTCTTTTATTCTTTGCCATGAATATGTATTCCTGTTGCATGTTGAACCCATTGTTCTATTTCTTTTTTTTTTTTTTTTTACGATTTTATTTATTTATTTGAGAGAGAGAAGAAAGCACGAGCCAGGGGGAAGAGCTAGGGAGAAGTAGGCACCCCGCTGAGCAGGGAGCCCGATGTGGGACTTGATCCCAGGACCCAGGGATCATGACCTGAGCCGAAGGCAGACGCTTAACTGACTGAGCCACGAACACATTGTTCTAAAATAACTTAAGGTGACAGGGGAATAACACATTTATTTGGCAGAAGAGCTGCCCCAAATGACTTTACGTAGCCCCTCTTATCAGATGGGATGCTGCACAACCCCAAAAAACCCGACTTCAAAAAACCTAAAACCATAAAGGACTTAAAACAGTAAGGAAGAATGTATTCTCTCTCATCAGTAACGGCCTCCAAACCCCCAATTTTTCATCCTTCTGTTTTCCCATCAGCCGTTGACTTGCCCGCTCCTCGGCTCATCAGCGGCAAGAGGAAAGGTCTGTTGCCATTAGCTCAACCAGTTAGGAGCCTCCCCCTGACCTGGAGTCCAGGTTAGCTTACCTGAGCGCACGGCTCCGTGGGGAGTAGACACCCACACGGAACGGTTCTCTGAGCCCGGGAAGCAGTGGGCGGTGGCTTTGGGGTGACAGCAGAGACAGCACCCTTTGGGGTGCTGGCGAGAGCCGTCTTCTGCCACGTTGCCAGGATGACCCAGTAGGAAACGTGGGGGAAAGGAAGAGAGCAAACTTGTTATTGGCGGTGTCTTCTGTTTTAGTTGAAGACCTGGCTTGTTTACGGGGTCTTTCGGAGTGCTGCTCTTTGGTGCCTGGCCTGGCACGGACGTCTGGACGCTCTGCAAAGCTTTTGTCAGCATCCATGATGTCCTCCTTTCTCGTGCGCCTTCCCCATAGTGGCTGGAACTCTGAACTCAGGGACTCTTTTTTTTAAAGATTTTTTATTTACTTATTTGACAGAGAGACACAGCGAGAGAGAGAGCACAAGCAGGGGGAGTGGGAGAGGGAGAAGCAGGCTTCCTGCTGAGCAGGGAGCCCGATG